ATAAAATGGGCAAATTAATCAATAACTGTTGTTGGGTAAGGAGGGCATTCAAAACCATTTATTAGTCATGTATTTTAATGGACTACAAATCCCACTTAGCCCCGTATCCAGGAAGTAGGTCCCGTTGCTAAGCAAACTCACCCACTGTGGGGCAGAATGAAACGCTGGATCCTGACATTGAATATCACGGTATTTACGCTCAGAAGGTAAGACATTTAATTATACCGGTCAGAGAATCAAACTTTATTAAGATACAAAACATATAATAAAGTTTTACCAATTAGAAATTAAATAAACTTTTACCCTAAAGCTTATGTAAGGAATGCTGTGAAACATAATACACACATTTATTTGAGGGCAGGCCGAACCATTTTTTGCAAATGTCTGGTGAATCGTCGCTAAAGAAGAGACCGGGCACAGCTCTCTCCATCGTGACTGAGTTCAGTGGATCTGGTTCATTAAACCCCAAACCTGCTGCTGCTGCTGCTGTCCAAACAGCATATTACATCTGAAATAAAGAGGCTTTCTTTCTTCAGAAAATCCTTTCTGGGTCAGACGATTTACAAGAAGTGTGGTCGCTGGAGATGTGTGTTGACACCCGAGAGGAGACTCTGGACAACTTCGGTCAGATGTGTTACAATAACTCTTTATTCAGTTATTCTGGTGATAAGAATTTGGGGGAGCCAAATGTTAGCGTGACTTTCACATTGTGAGGAACAGTAATGTGATTTGAAGGAGAAAGCCATAAATATTAGTATTATGATTTGACAGTTGTACTGAACAAATTAAATTATTATTTGTATGTTTTATTAAATACAAATGTTTACAATAAAATGTTACAGTAGTTATATTTATTTTGTTTAATATTTTAATAATAATAATAATAATAATAGTTTAATGTTTTATTCAATAATAATTAATACAATTAATCATATTAAAATAATAATAATTATTATTATTATTAAATTAATAGTAATACAATAGTAACACTTATTTTGTTCAGTGTTTTTTAGTAGTAATAATACTACTAATAATATTACTATTAATAAAAAATAACAATATTAATAATTATTGTTAATGTCTTTATTAATACAATTATTATTATTATTATAGTCATACTGACATAGAATCAAAATTTTGGCCAAATTGTGCAGCTCTACAAACAAGCACAGCAAACATTGAGCTATTATTAAAGGGATAGTTCATCCAAAAATGAAAATGTGATGTTTATCTGCTTACCCTCAGGGCATCCAAGATGTAGGTGACTTTGTTTCTTCAGTAGAACACATTTGATGACTTTTAACTCCAACCGTTGCAGTCTATCAGTCGTATAATGCATGGCAAAGGTAACAAAATCTATGAGAGTAAAAAAAACATGCACAGACAAATCCAAATTAAACCCTGCGGCTCGTGACGACACATTGATGTCCTAACACACGAAAC